AAAACGGAGTTTCTCTGAGATCTGGCAACAGTGGCTAAGTGTATGTTAAGTACTAGATTAGCTGCAAGTGCCTCATTTTTTTTAGACCAATTATTCTGAATAGGGAGAATAAATGAGCATAGTATTCAGCTGACAATTGTAAAAGATGAGAGAAATCCATATGAATAATGGTACTGCATTTTCTCCTCGAGCTATTTCTTATGGAAAAAAAGTGTTTAAATCTGCCCTTTACCAGCTCCACCTCTGGGGAAAAATAAGTAAAATCGGAATGGTTTATGGAGGTTATTGAAGTAGTCTTGGTGTTGTCTTTATTTTGTAGTAGAATCACTCTTCTACCCAGTTCTTGTCTTCGGATTAGGACCTCTCATTTAAAAAAAAATCATCTTCATTTGTCAAAAGAGACAATTTGGACTTTGCTCTTGCCTCATACAATGCTCATTATGATCTGGACGTGATTGGCGAATGCCCTTGAAAGCAGGAGGTGGAATGGAGTAGAGCAGAAAAATGCCAATTTAGATAGCTCAGGAAAAAATGGAAAGTGGCAGCGTGTCTTTGAGGGAGAGGCTTTTTATTTTATGCCTGTGCTTTGCAAAGAAAGCTTGTTCACAAATGTTACTACAAATACTTCCAGTGTTTTCACTTTGCTAAATGAATACTGCATCATAAATTGCATTAGGGTGACATATGTGTTCAGTTTGCCATGACTAAACCCGAGCATTTTAACACAGCGAGAGTTGTCTTTTGATGTCTTTTTTGCGTGGGACTTCATGATCAGTACTGGGGGGCTGACAGTGGCGGGGAGGGGGATCACGACTCAAGAAGGAGCTGAGTGTTGCGTTCGAGGTGGCGACCAGTTGCGTTGTTCATTGCTCGCTTTATACGTCTTTTTAGTAGTATTACTGTTGTTATTTCTTCTCTCTTTGTGTCGTCCTCTTAAACCGTCCTTTTCTCAACCCATGAGGTTTTTTACCTTTTTCTCCCAACTCTCTTCCCCATCCCACTGGAAGGGACTGAGCGACTGCGTGATGCTCACTTCACCCCCACGCTTAAACCATGACAGAAGAAATTTAACGGATGGTTGGAGGGACTCCAGAGAGACCCACAGTAAAGAAGATTCGGATCCACTAGGCTATTTGTAACTTTAAAGTCTTGCCCAAAAGTTTGAGATTTGATGCAGTGAAAAAGGTGGCAAAAGCGACAAGAAGTACGTGAGCGGTGTGGTCAGGTCAGGCCATTCACCGCCCTGTCAAGGCCTAAATGTGGTTCCTTGCAAGAGCGTTCAGTGCCTGTCAGCCAGCACGTGCAGTTATTAGAAAAACACAGCATATCTTTCTGTGTCTTTATCCTCCAGAATTGTTATTTGTCAGTCTTTCTGGTCAGTTACACTTCACAGATTTTGGGATGGCATTATTTGCTAAGTTAATAACAATCAGGGTGATAGGATACACAGTCTAATACTTGTGTGTGAAGGGGTCCGTAATCATCTGCCTGGATGAGGTGCACATAGTGTGGTTCTGAAGTCTGTCTTTGAAGACACTGGCAGGGAAAAAACATTCGTTAGAGGGATCCGTTTAATCTCAGAGTAAACCTTCTATATAAGCCATTGCTTATCAGGAACTTTTTGGACCTGCCTATTTTTTTTCTTGGGTACAAATTGACTATAGCTAAGGCTTGGAGAGATTCCACCTTATGCCTTGTAATCCAGAGCATCTAATGCAAACATTAACCATGCCGTGAATATAGGTGATATTTTCTATACGCAGAAATCATAGGCTGTGTCAGAGCTTGTAATTTCCTGAGCAGCAGTCCACCAGAAGGTTGAATACCAATGTGCTGTGTAGGCATGCCTTTCTTTTACTGAGGATTAAGGGCCTGAGGTAAAAAAAGAAAGGCAAACATCAGTGTTAGACTACTGTTAGTTCTGCCTCTCTATATTATGCATGCTAAGGATTAAAAGTATGATTAGCATAGTTTTTACTAGTGCAATGTGCATCAACTTTTTGTCAACTGAAATATGTTGAAGTTACAAAAATAAATGGAATGCATGAATAAGTAGATATGTCAGTTAAACCTACATGTGCTTAACTTAGATATCGTTAGTATGCTCAAGGCACAGAACTTATCCTTCTGCGCACAACTGCGAACACAGTGTATGTACTATGTTTTAATGTGCAGTGTGATAGCATTGTAGTTTCTGCAACTTCTCTGTTCGATTCGCCGCATTCAGACAGAGGTTTGTGTAAACATTGCACATACTGCTTCAAGAGACATGCTGTGTGCATGAATTCACTCATATTTAATTACTTGATTGATCAAAATAACTGTTTACTGTTTGATATTCTTGTTAACTATGTAGAGGCAAGATAGCAAAGGAAGTGTGGGCTGTGTTCTTTCTTGCCTATCATTTGAATTGCTTTCTGAATTAAGCATATGCAAACTTATTTGGAGAGGGGAGCACCATGAAAAATCTCATTTGCCAGTTGCTACTGAAGGAGATAAAGCTGTTAATTCTTGAACTTCAGGTTGGGTTTGCTGGACTAGCAGTTGTACCAAAGAAAGAGAAGAAGAGATACTTATTTTAAAAGGCGTTGGTATAAGTCAGTACAAACTGTGAATAAATTTTGTCTGTAATCCAGCCTATAGTGAAGATTAAGATAGAAGAGACGTATTTATTACAGCCACAGCAGCAGCTTCTTGAGTGCGATGGCTTTCACTCTGTGGAAGAAGCCTTGCAAGTTCTCCACAAGCATACTGTTTCAGAAGCCAGAGTTTTTCACGCAGGGAGTTGGTATTTGTGGCAGCCTAAGCTCTGCACTGTGCCATTGGGTCTTTTCTGGCATTTTAGCTCTTTTCCTTTGGATGAGAATTTGTTAGTCCAAAATATCTCTTGGATAAGCTGCTTGTGGTTCTAGTGACTGTTTTCATTGTGTGTAGTCTCCATCCTTCATGCTATGCCGGTTATTGGATTCCTGAAAGAAATTAATAATGGACCAGAAATTGTAGACTTCAGTTTTGTTGACTGCATATTAGCTTCTACCCGAATATCCAGGGAATGCTGAGTTAGCATCTTCGGAGAAGAGGCTGAACAGAAGTGTGAAACAACACGAGTGAGTACACGTAAGACTCAAATTTCTAATTTTATTTTAAAAGGAAGCCAGTAATAAGCATTTTCTACAACTATTGACTGGTCTTTATTTTGAATTTTGATATTTTGATATTTGATCTTTATTTTGAATTTTTATATTGAATGATCTTTACTTTACAAATATGTAAAAAACTCAAGGACGTTGAGTCTAAATTCTTTCTTGTGGGCTGTGCTTTTAGGAAAGTGTGCGCTTGTTTTCTGGAATTAGCCCTACATTACCGTGTCAGCTGTGAAGCATGACCCTGCACTTTGTGAAATGAGGAGCTGAAGTGACTTTGGTGTAACTGAAATGTTTCCATGTTATTCTTTGTGATACCATTGGAAACAGGTTGGCTTGGGAAAAACAGCAAATTATTCAGATGCCAGAGTTTTAGTGAACAATAGGGAAATTGCGTTTGCTTAGTGCATTACATACGCCGTTCAGGTTTTGGACTCGTGTCTAATATTACATAAGACAGAGATTGGCAGGTTTTGCAGGAGTCAGATGCCAGATTGTATTTTTCTTTCACAGGTTAGAGGTTGAAGACATTCAAGCATGCTGTTAGGTGGTGTTTGGAAACAGCTGGCTGTTGGGACGGTGTGCGAGGAGCAGGCTGCCCTGTCCCAGCGTTGCCAGAGCTGAAGGCACTCCAGCCTGAGCCAAGGGTGCCGGTGCTGTGTGCCTCTGGAAATCTACGTACGGCTTTCTTTGCTGTGTACACCAAGGGCTGGAAACTGCAGGCTCAG